CCCCCCCCCACGTCCCCCTCCTTCTGCAGAAAGGTTTCTTTCTCAGCTGCTTCCTCCCTTCCATGGCAACCCTGCTGCTCCCTCCCCTCTGGCTGCGATGCACGCCGTGGGGGGGGCTGAGCTGCAGACACCCACTGCCGTTCTGTGGGTGCTGGGGAGCATCGCCCATGTGCAGCCCCGGCCCTGCAGCCCCATCACACAACCCCAGCCCCATGCTGCACCTCCGTATCCCCATCTGCAAAGAGCAGAGCTTTGGGACCCTCGCAGCAATGGGGCGATGCTGTGGAGCAGGCAGTGCGTGGCTGGGGGTGGGATGGGGGGCTGTTGGCACTTTGCTGCAGGGTTGTGCGTGGCTGCAAACCCCCCCCAGCTGCATGGGGTGGGGGGTACAGCACAGCCAGCAGGAGACGTTTGCTCTGATCCTGTCTTAAACCAGGAGAGAAACGCTGGTCACCCGCTGATGTTTCCCTTTCCTTAACCTAAAGCATGGGGGTGATGGTTTGTTTTCTCCGGACGCGGGGCCCTGGGATGCTGCTGAGTTGTGTTTTCAGGGCGTTGATGTGACCGCGTGGTTTCTGCCTCCAGCAAACCGAGGCGTGGGGGGAAGGGGGGGGGCAATGTTTTGCACTCGTGAGTCGCTTCCAGAGCTGATGCGTGGGTTTGAGAATGCTCCATGTGAGAGCACCGTGTGTTGTGCCCCGTGGTGTCCCCCCCATAGGGCCCAGCATCCCTCTCTGACCCCATAGGGCCCAGCATCCCCCCTCCCTGGGACAGAAGCAGCAGTGCTGGCCCATGGAAACCACGTGCTTTTAGCTCAAGTGTGCCTAGCCCTTATGGAAGGGAGTGTGTGGGAGAAGGACCCCCCCGTGCTCCAGGTAACAGCCCCCTCTGCTGTGCTGGGGGTGCATTTGGGACCCCAGGAGGTGGGGATGCTGCTGTAGGAGAAGTTTGGTGTCCCTCCTGCCAGGAAGCTTCAGCTCCTCCATTGGGAATGTTTCCAGGGCTGTGCCTGTCTCCGTGTGGTCGTGGGGCTGGGAGCTGGCTGTGCTGTGCTGTGCTGTGGCTCCGGATGAGCAGGTTTTCCCTACAGGTTTTTCCTCCACCCCCAGGAATGTTATTGGGATGGAGGAGGTGGAGAAACTCGCTTCTCTGTGGGATTTCCCCATGAGCGAGGAAAGGCACGCAGCGATGTGACAGCCTGGGATGATTCCTGGTGTCCCCAATCCCAGGAGCAGGGCTGGGTTATGGGATGCAGCACCCATCCCAGGTGGGAGCAGCAAGGATGCACGGCCCTTCCCTTCCTGCACTGAAGCAGGACGCAGCCCAGGACCCCCACAGCCTCCCCCAGGGCCGTGCAGCTCCTCCTGCTTTTCCAGTTTGCCGTCTCTGGTGCTGTGTGTGGGATCTGAAGGACTCCAGATGAAATCTGGAGCTGCTCAGCCCACGCGGGTGGAAGAGGAACCGATGCTCAGCTGTGGGTTGGGCTCCCCAAAAGGCTGTGGGACCCCCAGGACAGCAACACCAGGAGCCCTCCATGCTCCATCCCCACAGCTTCGTGGCTTCATCCCCTGCACGAGGGCTGATGGGGGCCGAGGGGCTGCTGTGCCCCCACCGCCCCAGTGCCCTATGGGTTCTGTGCGCAGTGGGGAGGTGCCGGGTGGGATGAAGGGGCATCGGATGCTGTGTTGGGGACGGTGGCACTGTGCAGCTGCACCGGTGGGCTGGAGGGTTACAAAGCAACATTGGAGGGGGGTAAGGGGGGGGGCTTCTCCCAATTCCCATCCTGCCAGCACATGCAGGGATCTGGCAGAGCCCTCAGCAGGGCTTGGAGCTGCACGTAACGCTACGGGGCACAGCGCAGCTCCAAAATGCAGCACCTCATCCCTCACTGTCACCTCCCCCCCCACCCCTCTATCCCTCACCATCACCTTCCCCCCACCCCTTCCCCCCATGCCTCTCCATCACCTCCCTCCCACCCCACAGCAGGGGTTCCCCTTCCCCTCCCCACCACGGCCGCGCTGACCCCAGGGATGCTCCGCTCGTCCCCCTCGGCCCTGTTGAGTCACTTCCGCGGCCCCCACCGCCCTCCCCCCTCCCTCCTTCCCTCTCTCCTCCTCTCCCTCCCGCCGTGGGGCCGAGAGCTGACCGACCTTCCTCCCCTTTTTTTTTCTCCCCGCTCCTCCTCACCGCAGCCGCAGGGAAGGATGAGCGACGCCGGCGCCAAGCCCAGCCCGCCGCTGGCCTCCAAAGGGGAGAAAGATGCGGCAGAGAAGAGGGGACGGGGGCGGCCCAGGAAGAAACCGGAGGTATGGGGAAAGGGGGGGGGGAATGGGGGGGTCACGTTGCTGCTAGGGAGGGGGGCACGTTGGCACACGGGGATGGAGTTGGGGGGGAAGGGGGGTGCTCAGGGTGCAGCCCCAACCTGGAGCATGGTGATGCATCACCCCCAAACTGCCCCGCACCCCAAATCCCTGCACCCCAGAGCCCCCCCCCCCCAGCCCCATGTAAGGCTCTGGGTTCTCCCGCAGCTCCTCCCCTAGAGCTGCTTCTGCAGCCCAGCTAATTAAAGCCCTATTAGCACAAGCTGCTCAGAGGGATCAGATGCTGGCGGGTGGGGGGTGGAGGGGGGGCTTTGTGGTTGTCACAGCCCTCCCACAACGCTTTGTGCACAGCCCCTCCCCTCCCCCCATGAAGGCAATGTTTGCCAATTCCCAGCTCTTTGCTGGCCAGGTTTGGGGTTTCCCAATGGGATGAAATTGGCAAATGGGGGGGGGGAGGGGGGAGGTTGAGCAGAGGATTGAGAAGGGAGCTGGAGTTAAGCTGGGAGATTAACACTGAGGGGGGGGGGTCACTGAAGGACAGCAGTGCTCTGCCCCAAAGCAGCGCTGAGCCCATTGCAGTGCTCGCAGTGCTGCTGCATCCCGGGGGCACCGACCCCGTCTGCAGTGCCCCCCCTCAACTCTTTTTACCCCCTCCCTCCCTCCCAGGATCCCAGCGAAGCGCCCACCCCCACGCGACCCCCCCCCCGGCCCCCGGGCATCAACAACCAGCCCATCGCCCAAGGCAGGGGAGGTGGGTGGGTGCAATTAGAGCTCAATTAGTGGCATTTCTGGGCTGATCCCCCATTCCTACAACCTCCCCCCCCCCCCCCTTCCCCCCCAGTCATGGCAGCTGCATCCCGAAGAGGGGGTGGGGAGGAAGGGCTGGGCTGCGGGGTGTCTGCATGCACGCACCCTGCAACCTGCCTTCAAAACATGCAGCTCACATCCTGCGCTGCTGTGTGAGTCGTGGGCCAGGGCCGTGGCCATTGGGTGATGGGATTTGGCAGCAGAGGGATGGGAGGGAGGTCCAGAGGTGGTGGGGGAAGGGGGGGGTGGGGAAGGTGCACCATCCTGACCTCAGTTTTTGTTTTTCCCCCCCCCTGGAACGCTCAGAAATCCTCAGTCGCACCAGGGATGAAACCTCGAGGCCGACCCAAAAAACCGGTGAGTGCCCCTTGCCCTTTTCCCCTGCCCTCCCAGCCGTGGGGCTTTTTGTCATTGTGTGTCTCCCCCCCCGCCCCCCACGTGGTGGCAGTGACCCCATCGCGATGGGGATGCAGCGCTGGCAGAACGTTTTTATGAATGGAGCGGGAGGAAGCGTGGGAAGCGCTGAGTCATGGCTCACACTCAGTGCTGAGTCAGCGCCGTGTGCCCCCCTCCGACCCCCCCGTGGGGCGCAGCTGTGGGCACTGGGCCGCGCACACAGGGCTGCGCTGTGCTGCACACTGTGGGGTCGAAGCAGGAGCAGCTCCGTGGGGCTCCATGCAGAGCCGCATGGAGGGGCAGAACCCTGCATGGTGACTTGTGCCTCAGTTTCCCCACTCGGTTTCTCCTCCCCCCGCCACGTTTCTCCTTTGCTTTGCAGCAGCAGGACGAGGAGGAGGTGAACATTTCCCAGGAGTCATCTGAGGAGGAGCAGTGACCCCTCCTGAACCGCCACTACCTCATCATCACCCCCCAGGACTGAGGGAGATGGACGGGGCACAGCCCCCCCCGGCAGCACCCGGCTTCCTCCTCCTCCTCCTCCTCCTCCTCCTCCTCCTCCTCCTGCCCCGCTCCTTCCTCACCCCCCAACAACAGCAGCACTGGAACGCAGGGCTCAGCCCCACAGCCCTATGGGGGGGGACCCCCACCCCGCTCCCCCCAGCACAGTGGGGCAGCCCCACTCCCCCTCGCTGCATCCCTGCAGTGCCCGGTTCGGGGTGACCCCTTTCCCCATCGGTTCTGCTTAATTTTTATTTTATTATTTTTATATATATATATATATATATTATTGTGTTTCGTTTTGGTTGGTTTTGTTTTTTTTTTTAATCCTTTTTTGGTTGTCCTCTCATTCACAACTACCTCTGGATATTTAAGTTCCACTCTTGGCTCACGGAGCACTGCTGTGCCGGTGTGGGGCAGCCGGGCATCCTTTGCTTGGGGTCATCATCATCTTTCTCTTTTTTGGGGGGGGTTGCATCGCTGGGGGTTGCAGGGGGGAGGGGATTCTCCCCAGTTCAGCCGTTCGTTCATTATTTTTTTTTTCTACTGTTAACTTTCAAGGTTCAGTCACTGCTGCTCCTGGGTGGGGGCATGGGGACACTGGGGGTCCCCCTGTGCCACCCCCACGGCTGCAGTGGGGCCAGGGGGGGTTCGGTGTCGGGTTCAGGGTGCTGCCAGTGTGGGGAAATAAGGGGGGATTTATTACTGTTTATTTTTTTGTTCCACTGTTAACAACCGTCTGGTTTCCTATTTGCAGTTACTTGAATAAAACGTTTTATGGAATAAAACATTTGATGCTCTGCTCTGGGATGGAGCCTCCTATGGGGTCTGGGGTTGAGCCCCGTGTGGTGCCTGCCCATCACCACTGCTATTGTTGTTACAGAGAAACGTTTATTTGCCCCCTCCAAAGGAACTTGGGGTGTCCTGACCCCGCAAACACCATATAGGGCCAATAGGAGCCCATGGGTGCTCCGTGGGGCTGCACCTGTCTCACAGCCCCAGTGCATTTCCCCACCCCATCCTCAGTGCATTTTTTTTAGGGTGGTTTCAAGAAAAAGCAGCAGAAAAATGTGCAGGAAGGTGGCAGGTGCCCCGTTACCATCCGTGCTCATGGGGATGCTGGCGCTGCTCCCGGTGCTGTGCTGCCACTGCTGGGGGGAGCTGTGGGTTCCAGTCCTGCTCCAGGGCAGCCTCAAGCCCTCCAGCCCCCACGGGAGCCCCAGGTGGGACCCATCTGCAGGGAGGGATGGAGAGCCTTGAGCCACCACAGTGCAGCCGGTGGCCCCAGAATACAGCCCCCAACCCCAAAATGCAGGTCATGGCCCCAAAACGCAGCCTCCCACCCCAAAACAAAGCTCACAGCTCTAAAACTCACCTGGTGCTCCTCCGCCTCCACCAGCAGCTCGTGCTCGGACTCCTGCAGCTCCTCAGCAGGGTCATAGCTGTACATGGGCAGCAGGCGGTGCCGCAGGCGCTCCGACCTGGGGTGGGGATGGGGCTGAGCACGGATGGGGTGCAGAACCGGGGGTTTATGGCATGGGGGTCCCCCAGTCACTCACCTTCGCTTCTTCTGGACGTACATCACCTGTGTGGAGAGCAGGATGGGTGTGAGGGGGATGTGGGGATGGGGATGGGAGGGGGTTGGGGGATGGAGTTGAGGATGGGGGCAGAGTTGGGGTTGGGGATGGGATTGGGGTTGAGAATGGAGATAAGATTGGGGATAAGGTTGGGGCTGGGGTTGTGGATGGGGACAGAATTGTGGTTGAGGAGCGGGAAAGTGTTGGGGATGGGGACAGGGACATTGGTGAGATTGGAGATGAGATTAGGGATGGGAAAGGATTGGCTGAGGATGGGAGAGCATTAAGGGTGGGGAAGATGGGGTTGGGGATGGCACTGAGGATGGGAAGAGTTGGGATCGAGGATGGAGACAGGGATGGTGCTGAGATTGGAGATGAGATTGAGGACAGGTTAGGGTTGAGAATTAGGACAGGGCTGGGCCTGGGGATGGGAACAGGATTGGGGCTGAAGAGTAGGAGAGGGCTGAGAACTGGGACAGGGCTGGGGTTACAGATGGGGGTGGGGACAGGGTTGGAATTGAGGATGGAGATGAAGTTGGGGACGGGGACAGACTTAAACTTGGGGATGGAGCCAGGAATGGGGTTGAGGATGAGACTGGGGATGGGGAAAGGGACGAGGTTGGGAAGGAAGACGAGGACGGGAACGGAGCCGGGGCTGGGGTTGGGGTCTGCCCGCACTCACCGCAGCCAGGACGGCGCCCAGCAGGGTGAGCAGCACGAAGGGGCCGAGCACGGAGCCCACCAACGAATCGCCCGCAGCGCCGGGAGCGCTGGGAGCCGTCGCGTTGCTCATGGCTGCGGCGGTGCGGTGGCGGCTGCTCCCGACATGGGGACGGGTGGCACGAGGGAACGAGGCGGCCCCGGTAATGACGGCGTGGGGTGCGCCGGGGGTGGGGGCGGGGGGGGGCTACGCAGCGCTCAGCCACGAGGACGCACCAGGAAGAGACACGGGTGGGTTGCCGTCACCCCGTCCGCCCTCCCTACGGTAAGAACGGGCCGGGGATGGGGGAGGGGGGGGGTGAGCACGCAGGGGCTGCTGTGCCGCTCCCCCCCAAAGAAATCCGGCCACGCACCGCCACCCCGCATCACAGCCCTCCCCGCTACGACACGGCGCTGCAGATCCCGCACGCGGTGCCGCCCCCCCCCCGCCCCATGCGGCCCTCCGAGCTCTGCGCCCCTCCGTGCTCCGCACCCCCAGCGCTTCCCATGCGTTGCTCGCCCCGCGCCTCCCCCCCCCCCCCCCCCCCCCCCCCCCCGCGCGCTCCCGCCCCGCCCCACCTGCGCGCACCGCCCGCACCCGGAACCCGCGCAGCGCGTGACAGCGGGGCGGGGCTTTTTGTGTTGGGGGCGGGGCTTACATGTAGGCGTGGCTTTTTCGTGGAGGGGGCGTGGCTCTGAACGCGATGCAGTGCAGCTTCACGGCCGCTAGGGGGCAGCAGAGACCGGGGGGGGCAATGAGAGATATGGATGAAACAGAAGAGAATTCAAAAAAGGAAGAAGGGGGAAAGGAAGGAAAAAAAATAGGCCAAGAAGGGACAGGGACAGCATGGAGCTTGGGGCGGGGGTTGGTTCCAGCCCTCCCTAGGGACACTCCCTGCTCTGGGATGCCAAAACCCTTTGTTTTACTGGGAAGGGGCAAGGCTGGTTTGTCCCCATGCTGCGAGGCTCCCCCAGTGTCCCATTGTCCCCATTCCCAGTCATCCAGTGTCCTTTGCAATGCTGGTGGCCGTGTTGCCCTCACTGGTCCCACTGTCTCTGCTGCCTCCCCTTGGCCCCCAGAGGTCCCCTCCAATGGGGACAGAGGGAATGGACCTGGACAGGATGCTCAGGAGAAGGGAAACCATCACCTCCAAAACACTGCTGCACAGCTCACCCCATGGGACTCACCATACCCCATACATCCTCTGCATCCCCTACATCCCAAATCACACATCTCGTGTCTTTCCCAAACCAGCCTCAGCCCCGCTCCCCCATCAGCAGCCATGGGAGCCTCCTGCTCATTGCTTCCCCCCCACACCCCCCAGCCTGACACCTAAAAATAAGATCTGCAGTTTCTAGGAAAGTTCCTTGGAGACAGTGAGCAAGCAGGAGGGCTGGGGGAGCACAGGGGCTGCTCAGCCCCAAGGAAATCACCCTTAACGCCCCCCCAGAAACATCGGGAATGAGAGCATCACCACCAACTTTGGGGAAACAGATCCTTTGCGACCAGGGGAACCAGCAGAGTGAGCAGACCTGCAGCAGAGAGCAGCAGCAGAGCCAACAGGCTGCTCTGCTCCCAAAGGTGCAGCAGAATGCACAGCAGCCCCTCCTCCCTGCTGCAGCCACCCTCACCCCTCCCATACTGTGCTCACAGCGTCTCTGCAACTCCTGTCTGCAGTGAGTGATGAGTTTGAGATCAGAAAATTAACATCACCCAGAGTCACCTTTGGCTTCCCAAAGGAGCTCCATCGTTGTGCTGTACGTCAGCTGGGGCTGCGGATGGACCAGCAGCGTGATGCCACACCTGGCAGAGTGCTGGGCAGACAGTCAGTGAGGATGGATACAGGGCACTGCTGGTGCTCTGCACCCCTGCAGCAGAAGCAGAAGGTCATTTCCACCTGTGGGCTTTGCAGCACAGCTGCGAGCAGCTTATGAGCGCTGCCAACATTCCTGCTCCACAAATCAGGGCTGGAAATGTCCATGTGAGACCAGGCCTTACAGCTCACCCCAGTCCTACAGCACAGTTCCCTCTGCATGGAACCTGAAGGGCTCTCACTCAGTTCAGCATTTGCTCCCCCAAATCCCAGACACAGCAAGGGGCAGCAAGCAGGGAGGGCTCTTCCCCGTGCTCCCTCCCCCCCATCCCCACAGATGCACATGAAAACAAGAGACCAGGCAGCAAGCAGAGCTGTGTGCAGTATGGTGTGTTTATTGGTTGGCACTGAGTTACAGCCTGACGCTCGTCCAGCTCTCATCCAGCTTTGTTTTGCTTTCCATGATTTTACCTTTCTTCTCCAGCACACACAGGGGTACAGGCAGCCCTGCGCTGAGCTGCTGTGCGTGGTGCAGCTGGGTAGAGCCAACACCCAGCACACAGCTCACCCCAAAAGCAGCACTGGGTTGCATGAGGTGCACGGAGATCTGTGCTCTCCCTGGAAATGGAAAGATGAAAATCGCATAGGTTGATGCTAAACTTGCTAGCCAGCTCTGGGCAGGATGGAAGGAGAACATCTGTGTCATTGGTAGGCTCCAACTAAGAGCTGACCCTCGAGGAAAACCCAACCAGAATTTTAGTTGTAAGAAGAACGAGTCCGAGTCAGTAAGAAAGAGAAACGCGAGATTGCCAAAATGCCCTTGCAGTCATAAAGTGTTTTTGCAAACCATTTTCGCTTAATGTGTCATAAACTTAGAAACACAAAGCACAGGGGTGAGGAACAAAACTCTGCAGCGAGAAAAAGCCAGTGGGTGATGGGAATTTAATGTCCAAATCCATCTGGGATTCATGGAGAACACGGTGCTGATGATTCACTGGAGACGTCAGGCTGCTTTCAGCTCTCCTTGCTTTGCTCCCTGCATCAGTTCCACATTCCCACCTGAAGCCAACAGCCGCTCACTGGCACCCCCCAGCTGAAAGCACTGATCTGCACGGAGCAGGAGCACCTGGAGCGATGCTGACTGCGCTCTGCCACTGCAGTTGTGCAGCCCCAGCCCAGACCCAGAGCCCTGAATGAGTCGGAAGTGTCTGCAGTGTTTAAACCTCATCCCCTAGGAACAGAGAGGCCAGGAGCTGGGTGAGAGCAGGCAGCCTTGAGGTTACAGAGGCAATGGAACAGGCTGACAGCTGCTCTCACTTAGTGGCATCTAGGTGGCACAGTGGCATTCCCTGTATTGCTCCCACTGCCGCGCTGTGGGCTCTGCTCCCTGCTCAGGGATGCTGCCAGCGCCGGGCGCAGAGCTCAGAAGGCAAAGTGGAACTGCAAGGCGATGCTTCCAAACCTCCCAACTCAAAGAATACAAAACAGGACACACAAGATGCTCAGCAAACACTCCCGAACCTCCTGAGATTCCTTTCTGAGCTCATTTCTCAAATGCAATGTCAACATGCCCCATTTTCCTCCCCCCCAAGAAAAACAAAATCAAAACCAGCCCCGACCCACTGGCACCAAGAAGAGGTTTTATAAAACCCCCAAAAGACATCTTCAATCCAGGTAAGTGTTCTTTCACTCCCAGCTACACTTTTTAATTACGTACAGACATCAGGGCAGCACAGCCACCACCTTTCCATTCACCTCCCACCATCAGAGCCACAACTGCACCCAGTCTCACCCCAGCAGCGACGGAACCGAGGACAGATGCAGGTGTTACGGGATGGGAACACAGCAGCAGCCAGCTCACCTGCAGCCAAGGCCCACTTAGCATCCTCCTAAGGCAGCTAAGGAGCCGCTAGATGATGCTGTGCCATGGAGCGGGGAGAGCAGAGCAGAGCTGGGAATGGAAGTGAGGATTCCTGGCATTCCCTGCCCACATTTTTAGCCACTGAATGTTTCAGGTCTGCGCTAGAGGAAAAGCTGCGCTCCAGCAGATTCCACCTCCTTTGCATTTTTCAGTTTAAGGAGTTTGCTTTAAGGTACATCCAAGGTCACACTGAGCTGAACTGCCTTCTTGCTCAACAGGAACCTTGCTGCAAAGAGCCCACAGCGCGCTCCTGCCTGCCAGCAAAGCCGATGTTCATGGCTGTGGTTCCTTCCCTCCTGCTTTGCCCTGCAGCAAGGGGAACGCAGCACTGCAGTGGGTGCTGGCTGCACAGCACCATGCCCACATCACACAGCACTTCTCTTCTGCTCTTACAGGATGCCCCTCTGCTGCCAAGCTGGAATCAAAGCGATGTAAGAAGGAACCACACACTACAAGAGGACACACACACTATGGAAGAGAAACAGCTCAGATATGCAGTCACCTGTCTGTGCCACCGTTCTGTGGCAAAGCAAGAGGAGAGATCTGATGTGAGGATGGCCCTGAAGAGGCTCCATTTCTCTGTGCATCCGATCCTTCCTCAGAGCAGAACAGCTGGGTGAAATCCCTGCAGGTCTTCCACCAAGAGAACCCACGGACACTCCCAAGTTCTTCCTGCATCTTAAATTCACGGTGCACGATGAAGGGAAAGAGCAAAGCTCTAACAAGCCAGGTGCTCTCCCTCCCAGCTGATCCCAGCAGCAGCTTTAAGAGACCCATAATGAAGTACCTCTCCATAAAAGTCGTGTTCTATCCCTCCTTCTATCAGGTTTTAATTAGCTACTGGTGAACTGGGTTTATCAGTAATGCCAGCCTACAGCTTCAGCTCTGTTTAAATGCATTAAACGAAGTTAGCTAGCTGCCCATCAGAACTCCTCATCCACCTTTTTGCTAACGGTGACCCAACCAACTTTATTTTAGCTTGCAAAGTTGAGAGCAGCCCCGAGCACCACTCAGCCAGGTGGCAAATGCCAAGCATCCCTGTTTGGAAGCTGCTGCAATGCCAAGGAAAGCAGCACGGCGTTGCTGAGCTCCAGCTGCCTGCAGGACAGCACAGAACAGCTCTGCTAAGGACACGACCACAGATAAAGGAGGTGCAAACCTCCCTGCCAGCTCTGAGCTTCTCCATCACCAATGAACTACTGTGTGAAACCCAACAGTCCATCTTTGTGCAGCAACCAGAAGTACTCCAGCAGCACTGAATGCCAGACTTCAATGGAGAGCCAGCCTCACTCAACCCCTTCCTGGCCGCCTCCAAGGCAGCATCTCCCCCTCTGGTGTCTTGGCAATTGCCCTCAGCCTCTCTCACACACCAGTGGGGCACATCTATCACATCCCACGTGGTGAGGGTTCTCCATGGGAGAGAGAACATCCCTCGAGTTGTTTTCAATTGAAATAGCTCCTTCCTTTTAAGCTTGCCCTTGGAAGGCCCCACAGAGCTAAATCTGAAACCAAGAAATCATTTCACAGCCACAACTCCAGGAGCCTCACGCTGCACATCTGCCACCGTTTCCAAACTCCCACAGATCTGAGCACAGCAATCCCCCTCCCACCATTCCAAAACCCCATCAGAGAGGTTTCCTACAGCTCGACAGTGGGTCAGTTTCAACCCCAATGAGTTTAATTACGTTTGGAACTCCTCCACACGGGGACATGCTGGTGTGTTAAGCCTCAGGTGAAGCCATCAGAGCAGCACTGGGGCTGACCAGCACCTTCTGGAAGAACCGAGCAGGGCTGGAAAGTGTCCTTTTTCTCCTGTTGGAATCCATAGAACAGAACAGATAGCAGCAAACCCATTGGTGGGCATCAGCTTAGCCTTGCATGCTGCTGCAGCAGCAGTAATCCAGGCTGCCCTGTCAGATGAGCCAGCACTGTGTTAGTATTTGGGGTTTAAGGGATAATCACGCTAAGCAGAGGTGTCTCTAAGTGCCAACTGCACTTCCCTTCTCCATTAAGGTCCCAAACACATCTGTAAATCCAGATGGGAGGATGCAAGTCACTGACAGCAGGGTTTAATTCTGACGAGACTGGAGGAAGCGACTCAATGCCAAAGTTGGGAACTGGTCCCATAGAGAAGCCCTCTATTCTACACAGCACACCTCCCCTTCACTGCCACTGCATCACTGACCCCACAACCCCAAGGCGTCACTCAGGGCACAGAGCACCCCAGTATTGAAGCACCCCAAGAGCCAGGCATTTTGCTCACATTCTCCCCTCTTCCCTGCCTCTCAGCGTGCAAAGCATCCCCACGTGCACAACGCATTTGTACAGCACAGAAAGCAACGAGGGAGAAAGGAATGTTGTGGTGAAGAAGCCGCAGAGGACACTGGAAGTTTCGCTTCCAGCAGCCCATCAGCCATAGGTGGTGATGGATGGAGCCACTCCAAGCTGAAGCTGCTGCATCACAAACAGGGCTGGCATTTACCTGAGCACTGCTTTCAGCAAACCAGGCACGTGAATCCTGCAGCTTTGGGGCAACTCGATCAATTTGCTGCAAGCTTGCAGGTTGTCTGAAGGAGGCGTCTGCTTTTGTTAGAGAACACCTACAGCTACACCAGCCAAACATCCACGGCTATGCAGAAAGCCAAGCAAAGAATATTACTCTTGAACAGGAAGCTGAGACACGTTGTAATGACAGGTTTATGGTGCTAGGCTTAAGGGGTCAGCCCAGACACGACACAAAACAATTCCGCTGGCTCAAAATAGCACCAGTTCCAGCAAGGCTGGGAGCCTGAGCCCGACCTGCAGGCTGCACATGGTGGGGTTTCAGCAGTGCTCACAACACCAGCCCTGGGCACCTCCACCATCTCCACCCCAAAGCCAGGGAGCCGCTTTCCAAACAGCTCCTGAACAACTGAGGAAGGCAGCTCGACTGTGGATCCCAAATCAGTTTAGCACAACCCAGGCAGAGCCTCCCTGGCATGCAATGCAGCTCCACCAGTTACTACAGAAGATCTCAGATGCTGAGGAAGATGGGAACTTGCAGGTGGAACAAGACTAAGCTCTGTTCCCAAAACCACATCTGTTGAACAAAAGCTTTTTCTGCCCCAGGAGCTAATTGCAGTTCAGAAGGCATAATATCAGCCACTCCGTGTTACTGTGTTAACAGCATCAATTCATGCCACATTAGAACACTTTCTTGGCACAATTTATTTTTCTGACCCAAACAAATAAGCCATTAGCAAGTCATTAACAATTTTCTACCCTAAATTGTCAGTTTAACAGCCCTGTAAAAACATTTTTTAGTTTATAAACAAAAAGTGTGCATGCTGTTGATATTAAAACTGCAATTACTCTTTCAGGAGTACCAGCTGTTTTGTTGCAAAGCATTCTCCACACACTGATCCGTACAGTACGACAAGAGCTCAGCTGAAGGCAGTAGGTGGCTGTATTTGGTGCCACTCAGGGCTCGGTAACAGCAGGCTGCTGCAATCCTTGTACACTCCCCAAGGCAAGACTGGAGCCCTTGTGAGAGTTTGGTTCAGACAGAGAGCAGGACAGCATTGTACATTCGTCTCTAAGTTGAAGTGAACTGAACTGGTGTAATTCAGGCTCCATTCCAGGCTACTCCTTGAATAATGCCTCTCAGCTTTTTCTTATGCGTGGTTTTTCATGTCAGCAATCGCTGGCACTGCTCTTGGCCTGGCTACCCCACATCGATGAAAGCAGGGGGAACAAGTACAGGAACAGAATAGGATCTGAAAATGAACAGCTTCTTGCCAAAGCAGCAAGGATACCATTCCCCCTTGTCCCAAGCTCCATGGATATTTCCATCAGATTTTCATATGTTAAGTGCTTCTTGGGAAGAGAGAAAACTCCGAACAGTGAGTATTTATTAGAATATTTTTTGTTAAATAAAGAGGAAAAAAAAAAAAAAAAAAAAAAAAGAGTACTGCAGATTTAATTTCACATCTTGGCTATGTTCTGACAAAAGAGAAGTTACTGAATTCAGCAACTGCTTCTTGTCCCAAGCCAGGGATTAATTAATGCCCCTCCCAAAAGTTGTACCTGTCCCAACCCACCCCCAGCCCCAACCCTTCCCATTTTATTTCCCAACTAGACAACACTGTTGGCAAATCAAGACAGCATGAAACTTACATCAAGAAAAACAGAACAACAACAAAAAAAAAGTGAAGCGTGCCAACACATCAGGGAAGCCGTCCTACCAACAGTGCGCTCCTCCAACCAGCAACTCAGCTCAGGAGTCAGCTGTACCTTTCATGGAGGACAGCTTAAACATTCTGAATGTGCTCCATGGTGCAACTGCAAGTGCTGCGGAACCACAGGACAAGAGATTGAACACCTGAATTTTTCCCCCTGGGCTTCTTCTCAGGGATATTCGTGGTCATCCAGCCAAGGGTCGGCGCAGCAACACTCACTAAGTACAATCCGATGCTTCAGCACAAGTTAGGATATCCAGTTCAGCACGGTATAAGGCATGTGGACAAGAAGAGACATCAGCAGAATGCAGCAGGATCAGCAGAACAGCATTGGTGATTGACACTCCAGTTTGCCAGACTTTGAGCCCCCTCTGAATCCCCACCACAGACGTTTTGTTTCCTACCGTAGCGTTTCTGAGGCTACTTATTTTTGGCCAAGCCCTAAAAGACCAACTCTTTTTTGTTTGTTTGTTTCATTTTGATGTGAAAAGCAGAAACGGCGGCAGAAGCTGCAGGAGAAGCAACTGAGCAGCAGGGATGTCTGCAGGTGATCAAAACTCTGCCCTCAACTTCAAGAGTCACTGCACCAAATGGGGAGTTGCTGAATGGGGAGTAAACTGGCCCAGCCACTAGCACTGTCACAGAACGTGTATTGTTAGAGAAAAAAAAACAGAACAAAAGGCAAACAGATTAATTATGAACCCTTCTTTTCAAAGCAGACCAGGATTAAAAAAAAATTAAAATGTTAGATTCTCCATCTAACAAAAAAAAAAATGTTGTTTATATACATGTGCTGAAAGTGACCGCCACGCAGGTCCAAACAGCACCTTACAGTACAGACTAAGACTTAAAGAGCTGATCTCACATTTGAAGTCTTTTAATTAAAAAAAAAAAAAGTGGCTATGGCTGGGATGACACAAATGGGACACTTCAGAACACAAGGCAGAGGCAAAACGGGCAGCCTCGCTCGCCAGGCAATGGAAGCGGTGTAATGGGAAAGGGGCACTTCATGCACAAAATGTATCTTACAAAATACATATCCAAAAAAAGCAAAAAACAACAACAACAACGAAAAAAAAAAAGCCAACAACAACAAAAAAAAATCCCACCTTGCACTAAATTGCAGCACTCTTAACACTTGCTCTGCCACAGGCTGCTGCCCATGCCTTGTTTGATAGAGGAGGCATGTGAAAAAGGGGAGGGGGGGGGAATCCATGTTTCAGTCTGTTTTTCAAAATCTCTCTCACAGGGACGTCCTCAGTCATCTGATGTCAGACACAGAGCCCTCAGAGTACGTCGTGGTCATGACTGGAGTGCCGTTGTTTGCCAAGCAGCCTTGCCTCAAGGTTTCAAAATACGAGGCCTGCACCGGTTTGTGATACTGCAGAACTTTGATGGCATCTTCTATCTTAAACCATTCCCTTTTCCTTCCTGCAGGCAAAAAAGAAAGATCAGTAGGTGCAGCAAAATGATGTTACCTTTCTATGTTTAAGAAAGAATTAGCTTTCAGCCATGTGCACATGCTGCAAGAACAGCTGCAGCCTGTAACACAGCAGCAGTGCAGAAGACACCAGGATGCACTTGCTGTTCAAGTCAGAAATCATTTTAGGACGATCCACAGCACTTCAACCACAAGCCAGTTTTGGTGAACTGGCAAGTGAACTCAGTGCTCGTTCCCTGCTCTTCCAGTAAAGGCAGAAAGGACACAGCCTAAGGAGATCAGCTCACAGGTGCCACAGTGCTATTGGCAAACACTGTGAGGAACAACTCATTTTCATTTATGAACCTGATTTAAATGCAAAGATTTCAAAAGAAAATAGAGAATGATTAATCCACACTGCCCACATACATTTCCTTCTAATTTTAGGAAGGAAAGCTCTTCATGCTCTGTGCTTGGTGCAGGAATTAAACACAGCACTGCTGTACAGGCAGCTGCATGGCTGAAATGAGTTCTCCCAGGCCACAGAGCCAACTATTTGATCACCATTCTTTTTTTTTTCCCCCCAAGCAACCAAACTTACCAATATTGACAGAGTCCTCCCAGTCTTCCAACACTTCTGTGACAATCAGTACGTAAACATATGTCCTGTGTTTCCTGTCCCGATTCTGGAAGGCAAAGTGAACAGAGCAATGACAAAGTGAGCAGAGGAGGAAAGGCAGCGGGCAAGCAGCCACAAGTAGTGTGCTGCAGCTGGGATGCTATGGTGCTTGATGGGCTGCTTTCCTCACTTAACAATACTGCATCTTAAATGAAAGGTCTGGAAGTACCTGCAGGGGCAGCAAGACAAGAAAAATATTCTGGTTCCTAAAGTGTGAAACAGTTTCTCTGTGGTACCCCCTGCCCACACATCTCAGTGCCCCTGTGTTTCTGCCCTCCTGCTGGGGGCACTCACACCTCTCCACATCACTTTGGGAAATGGTTACAGTGCTGCTCATGACTGGTTGGTGTTTTGGGGGCACCAAGGAAGGGATGAAGGCACTGAGGAGATTCAGTGTTGTGCTGGCTTGCCACTGCTAACACCAAATGGAGCAGAAATCACTGGTGAGCAATGCCACCAAAAAGATCAGCATATACACACACACACACACATATATATATATATATTAATTAAATGAGGAACTTTGAGCCTTTCTTCAAACACGTCACCCACCTTACTTCCCAACAAACTGGGAAGTGACTATTGCTCCAAGAGGATTTTATTCTACCAAACTTTCCAGCCCCAAACTGTGTCTGAAACTTACCTCAAAAATTCCCACCAATCTTCCTAACGTCCCTTTCACTCCAGCCTAGAAAAGGTGAAAGGAAAAAAAGAAAGGCTTTAACAACAGGTCAGTACACATTTCCTCATTCGCTGTGCAGGAGCAGCTCCTTTATAACAAGAAGCAAGTGCTGTAATTCAGCTAATGGTCACAAAATAAATTATACAAATGTTTTGTGAGCTCCAACCATGCATGCATTCCCAGCATTTCTTCCCTTCTTTTTCTGTACTCAAATATTTTCTGTTTCTTAATTCAATCTGAAGAAAAAACGAAAAATGATTCTTTACTAATTGCACATCAATACACCCTGAATTCCTACCAGAACCTTCTCTAAAGGTTGTTGCAGCCTGAGCACGGCTAAAAATCACCTTGGGGCTCAGCAGTTTTACCTTTTTAGAATTACAGCTTAAGAAAATAACTTCAAAGCACGAGTCAGACATCCTCACAGCACCAAAGCAACCTGACATCTCTGAGGCATTTCAGGGATGTCCTCCATCCGTTTGAAGCAAGCTACAGCAAACAGCAAACACCACCCGAGTTGTAACGTGGCCTCATGGCCTCCGCAACACGAACAGGAGTGTCTGTGATACAGCACAAAGCACAGGCGCACATCGAAGGAGGATTTCTGAATCAAAGGCCGGGACAAAGAGGAGAGATCTAAGCAGCAGCTGCGCCTTCCACACCGAGCTTCCACCTCCACCTGCTTGCTGTTCGTACGTCCACACGCTGCTGGGGCTCAGACACATCCTCCAAGCGAATGCAAAATGCCACCCCACTCTCCTGCCCCCAGAGCCCTCCTCCTCCCATAACAGATGCTCCTTTTTACTGTGAATGATTGGAATTCAAGTGCTACAGATGAGATGGGACTTTGCTTTGTGACTCAATTGGGGTGAAACAACACAGAGCATGGCCCACAACCCAGCCACGTTTGGAAGGCAAACTGAGCTGCCAACCCTGGCAGCTGGAGCACATGGTGAGCAGTGCAGGAAAGGAGTACCTCTGTTCCTGCAGCACCAACCCCCAGCCTGAGTTAGCCAGGCTCAGGGTTTCTATAGGGAAAGGTATTCAGGAGAGGGGAGTTACATATTTAAATGCTTAATAGTTACACAAACTCTCTGTCCTGAGCAGCTGGGATACCGTTCTGTGTTTGTTCAGCTACTACTCTGTTGCTGGAGTCACATGCTTTTGGAAAGGAGGACCTCTCGTTAATTAGGAGCCAAGTGCTTCAGTTCCCAGCTCATACTGAACCAAAACAGTCAGAGCAAACACCACTGCTGCCCCAAAGGAACCAAGGGCTTTATAGCTCCCACCACCCCAAGCTACCCCTGAAACCCACATTCTTTCCATCACACACTCTCTGAGCTTGACTAATAGGAAGCAGCGTTTCAATTCAAACCCCTACACTGGTTTGGATATGAAATTTATTGTCCCATCAGTATTTCTGACATTCTGGCTGGCCCATAGGTGGGTCACTGGCTATGAACCACAGAGCTATTTCTGGAGTCAAAGAGCAATTCCACGAAGGTCACCGTTCGCATGCATGCACTCAGCATGGCAAGCACAGAGAACTCAGGCTGACCTTTGCAGATGAGCAGTGCTACCTCATCTGAAGAGCTGCTACTAATGGCTCTCAGGAGTGAACCAGACAGCAAACACTTCGAAAGGATCTCATTCCAAGGAGGAAACTCCTTTGGCAATCTCAAATGGTGGCTTTGTTTTATTTAGATAAGCAGCCCTATCATTCAGCCAGCAGGAATGAGGCGAAGGACAGAAGGCTTCCATGTTCACAACATAAATACGTCCAAAGATTAAGTGCAATCAAATGGGAAAGGTAAATCAAGGTTTTAAGCCAATTTTCTCCACCTGCTCCTGGAGGAGATTACTGAATGACTGCTCTCCTTCCCTACCTGCAGAGGCACTGAATGGAGAGCCAGGGCTGTTCTTGTCTGCTCTCCAACCTGACTGAGAACAAATACATCTCCGATCAGCCACACAGACTGGAAACTAAGCAAGAGCTCTGCACTGCCAAGCAGCCTATGCCCAGCTCTGACAGCATGCTTGCACTAGCACAGGCAGGCACGGGGCCCTTCCTTTTGTTCTGGTGAAGCAAAGAGGTATCCAAAGCAACAGTCTACAAACCGACATCCTTCTCTACTCAGCCTGGACTTACTCATCCAAATGGCACAAAACCGTGACTCCAAGCAAAGGTGCTGTAGGAAAACCACACTGAATTATTGTCAGGCAACTGAAAGGAGCGCCGAGGCTTCCTTTGTCTGTGAGTTTATCACATGCAAATGGTGATAGGAGTGCTGTGATTCAGTCAAACATTAGGCTGGCCATAACCAAAGTGAGAAATGGTAAAGCCTTGAAGATTGCAAAGGACATCGACCGGGAAATCTTTCAGTCCAATGACTCTCACCCAACTTTACAGGTGCTGTAAACAGTGACACCACAGTAAAATACCTTAGCTGCTACCCTCAGCAAAGAAGGCTCAGTCATAACAGAACTTCTGGGCTCCTCTTAGGGCTTCTATGGGGAGCAAGCCCTCTGCACTTCCCCCCTGATCCCTGCTGCACGTCGATGAGCATTTTCTTGGAAAGCCAGAGCCCAGCCACAGGCTCACCCAGGACTGGCGCTGGATCTAAGCCTTAATTTGCACCAGATGACTCCGGAATTTTCTCCTTGGTAGTAACTGGATTGAGAACCGCGGGCTGCAGCAGGGTGTCTGGCAGCAGCACCACGAGTTATTTGGGCATGTGTTCCCCCCCCCCCCCCCAGGCATTAGCAGTGCTGCAACCCCCAGAGCACACACCTGCACAAGGAGGGCACTACAAAACCCATCATCTGTAGACAGAGAAGCCCCAGCACTGTGCTCCATCTGCAGGGGTGAGAGCTCAACTCCACTGAGCAGCAGTGCTCCCCAGGCAAGGGCGGCCAGCAGGCTGGCATTCAGGCTCCTCATTCTCTGCTCCATGCATCCAGCAGACCCAAACCAGTTTGCAATGCCTAAGGTGGTCCTAGCTGGAAGGCAGCCTTAGCAGGAGCGTATCCCTACGCACAGCTGCCCCAAACCAGCACATGGCAGGGATGGGCTGGGCACGCAGGACAAGCAACCAAAATGGGGAGGAAATGAAGTTTTACCAACTCTGCTGCTCATGGAACAACTTGTTTGAATGAAGAAAAATTATCGAAGACATCCAAGAACAGCAGGTTCAGGTTTCAAAGCTGAAAATAAGTTCGGGTCAAATGCAAAAAGCAGCCTGCAGCAACACCATCTGTTCCTAGGGACAGCTTTTATTTCCTTCCATCTGAGCTAAGGAAAATGTGGGTTGGAATTTCAGCTATTTTACTTTGCTCTATTAGGCTCAAAGCCTGCATCTACTATAGGTTACTGCTGGGCAAGAGGACTGTGGTAAAACACCCAGATCTCTAATGCTTGCAGTACTGAAGGCAGTAAATCACACCCATAAGGGCTGCTAGCTTAGACAAGTTCTGAAGACACCAATTATACAGCAGCTAGGCAAATTTTCTTGCTGCCTTCACTGCGTCTCAGAGAGGGTTATATTTAACTAATTCTTTCCTGCATTACAACTGATGCACACCTCTGCATATGGTTATAAAATACCAGAGTAAAGAATTTCCACGCATTACACTCATTTATATATGAGTTTTGAGTACGTAAGGTGATACATGGCAGTGAAGCTGATCTGCTATTTGCACAGAGCATTACTAAAAGTATGAAGAGCTCACAGCTATCACACCTCATTCATTCACAACCCCTGCCATGATATTTCAGATAAAACACAGGGCTTCCTATGCTGGCACTGAAAGACATCGTTATTTGTATCCTAAATCACACACAGAACACATGAAACTGAAAAGACTGCTCATAAGCCATCCTTGGGAGGGAAACTACTGTCCAGCAATCAGATCAAAGTGCTGTGAGATGGACAATTTCTGATACCAGCATCCATTGTCTGTTTGATCACAGACAAAGCACAGCTTATCTTTCTTTTGCTCCCCATGAAGAAAGCACGACCAACACTTGTGTAATTTTATACAACTTGACATTTACTCAGTATTTAAAGGTCAGGATGTGAAAGATGCTATAAGTGCAGAATTAAATGCCTTTGGGTTTAACAGATGAATGTGGAGGCTTTCTTCAAAGTCACTCCATAATAAGTTTAATTTAAGGCAGCTATTTCTAAAACATGTTCTTCACCAGTTGCTCACACCCATGAAAAGCCCTTATTCCCAACATGACATTCATTTTGAGGAGAGAATGCAACAGCAGAGAGAAACTAAATCCAAGAAGGAAGAAGCCAAGAACACGCTATGCTGGTGATGATCAGTACTTTAGAAGGCCATGTAATTTTTCTAAAGGGGAACCTGAGAACACACCTGGAGCACACAGCTGTGTGGGCGACTGGCTGCAGTGTGCCAGAAGGGTAGATGGTGATAGGATAAGGGGGAATGGTTTTAAACTGCGACAGGGGGGTTTAGGCTGGATATTAGGAAGAAGTTTTTCACCCAGAGGGTGGTGAGGCACTGGAACAGGCTGCCCAAGGAGGCTGTGGATGCCCCATCCCTGCAGGCATCCGAGGCCAGGCTGGATGTGGCTCTGGGCAGCCTGGGCTGCTGGTTGGCGACCTGCATACAGCAGGGGGTTGGAACTGGATGAGCACTGTGCTCCTTTGCAACCCAGGCCATGCTGTGATCATTCCATGATAAGTGAGGGGCTGGCCCTGAAGGATGGCTCTCCCTCAGAGCTGGAGCGCTCATCTGCTGCACTCTGCCTGCAGAGCTCCGTCACTTCGCATTGCATACAGACAGCTGTAAGCGTGACAAGTGTTGGTACCTGTCTGCTTTAATACATCTGCTGGGACAGATTAATATGGAGAGTCCTTATGTAAACTAGGACAAGGACTTGAACTCAAACGGGGACAAAGGGATGGCAGATCTCACTCGATCAACGCCTCGTTTTCCTAAGAGCCCTTCTGAAATGCTGAAAACTGGAAAGGGGGAGAAGTCTGATTGCTCAAACACATCGATGATGGAATTAAAACACAGAATGCACAAGTTACAATTCTTCATTTAGGGAAGCATGTTTTAAAAAGAAAATGCATACCATGCAAAAAAAAAATGACTGAGTTGAGAAAAACCAGTCCATTGTCATCTACAGAGACCACAACTGAAGGGGACTGAGTCCTTCCAGCTCTTCCAACTGGCTCTTATTAAAAAGGAAAAGGCATACCAACATCAGCAAATGCAAGTCTGCAAATTCCCTCCATCACTGCTCAGCACACAAGCCACCTTCCTGCAGGATAACCACTGCTGTGTGCATACAGCACAGGAACACTGGGTTTTCTCTCTCCTGATGCAGGCAGTGGGAGCTGCTCAGCCGACCTGCTGGCCTCTCCGTGACCTGTCTCAGGAGAGGAGCAAAGGCAGCAAACCTGCACACAAAGCAGCCTCAGCTGCAACCCACCCAAACACACACACATACACAGAAAAAGCTGAAATTCACATGAAAGGATGAACAAGGATTAGCAGCCTAATTCTCACCAGCAAGTTCCAGCTAGCACTGCTAGCACGCACACCAGCTGCCCAGCAAGCAGCCTCCTAAAACACTGCCCCTGCCAGATGAGCAGTGGAGGCTGCACAAGTCCTTTACAGCACGAGCGTAGCAAACACTTCCCTCTCACAGGCACATTCCCCAGCAACATTTTACAGTAAACAGCTCACCCAGCCCAAGGCAGCTGATATACATTCTAATTTGGTGTACATACTGCGAGCAGAGCACAGGAACACAAACAGGTTTGAGGAAGGCCTTATAAGCCTACGAGCTGCCCTGTGTTTTTCAGCTGGTCTGACCACACACCGCAGGAGTGCTCAGGTAATTCTATCCGCACGGCGGGCCTGCAGGAGAGCCTTCACCCCAGCAGCCTCCCGCTGCACGGCACCAACAGGACAGGCTGTGGCAGAGGTCAGCACCTCTGCTAGGCACCCTGCAGCTTTCTGAGCTCGCTGTGCTCAGTGTTTGTTGAGCAGCATTTGAGCACATAGGTGGTTTGCTGGGAATGACTCAACCCTGCCAGGCTGCCACAGTTTGAATTACACCCTCATTCGGCACCAGTCCACGTGAGAGAGGGAACACCAGCTGAGTGAGAGGGGATTATCTCAGCCAGCCCAAACCAGTTCCTTCTCTGCAGATTGAGTCCATGCCAAGGCTTCCTTTCAACCACTGAGATGTCATGGAAAGAGAGCAACTCTTCCAAGCTTCGCTGCCTGAGAGAGGGACGGTCGATACAGATTTATTTTAGGGGTTTGAAAGGCGAAGCCATGCATCTCCTGAATGAACCTTTGACTTCTGTATCAAATAACTTCATAATTAATAATGATTAGGTTGTGAAGCAGGACTCTGTAGCTAAAAATATTCCCGTTGTTCTGGTTAAACTCACTTTGGCTTGTATTTGAAAGATTAACGAGTTCCTAAAAAAGCAAGAGCTGTACTACAGGCTGGAAACAAAATTCGCAAGCAGCAATCCCCAGCACTAGAGAGACCTAAAAAAAAAGTTCACTGCATAATCCTTCATATCCTTCTGATAAACTGATAGATTATAAAATGTCCAAAGAGAAATACACAACAGTGACAGGCATTTCCAAATACTTAGGGGAAAAAAAACCCTTAATATACAAGACAATTAAACAGAGCAACCAGTGGAGAAGCTTCCTCCCAACGGCCCCCAATTAGCTCTTCGTTTCTGTTCTGTAGCACAAAGATTCATAAACCTCTTGAAAGCATTTTAATCCTGCCTTATGTAACTATGGACCTACTTGGTCATCCATATGTAATCATTTAATCATTTCTGAAGCCAAGCATCTCTGCTATTCAGTAATATTCAGAAGTGAGTCCTAAAGACAAATTCTACATGCGATGTAGTCAATTACCATTTGCTGACTTTAAATTCCTTTAATTAAATATGAAAAATAGCTCCTCCAGCTTCAATAGAAAAGCATGCCTTCTCCACACAGGTCATTCTGTGTGCTGCTGTTTGCCTCCCTTTCTGAAACAGCTCCAACTTAAAAACATGAACACGTCACAGCTCTGTTCTCGTAACTCTTGCCACCAAATTCTGGTATTCATATAAAGCTCAAAACGTGTAGCAAGCCAAAACTTATTGAAACTGCTATCTTTGAGGTAGGGTCTGGTGCACTCCATTATTGCATTAATGCACTCCATTATTAGGCAGCTCCACAAAAGCACTGCTGTTTTTTAAAGTTCTCTTAGGAAAGTGTACAACAAAGAAAGAAAAAAGGAGGGTATCATTGCATTGAAGTGATTATAGCTTAAATTTAACTATTTTCAGGTAAGGCTGCGAAGAAGTTCATTCCAAATGGAAGCCTTAATTATCACAGAATCCTTAGAGCTGGAACGGATCTCGGAGGGCCATCTAGTCCACCACATTCCTTCATTTCGGGCCCTGGTTCCCCCATACACACAACGCAGGTACCGCACTGCCCACGGATTTCTCTTCACCTGCAGGAAAAGAAGCTGGAGCTACGAAAGCCCCCCGAGCTCCTGCTCTGTAAGCACTCACCTCTTCGCAGACTTCTCGCACAGCAGCCACGTTGGGCTCCTCCTCGGGCTCCATGCCGCCCCCAGGGACGATCCATCGATCCGGATGACGACTACTGCTAACCAGCAGCACCTGAGGAGAACGGAGCACAGCACATGCATGAACACACAGCGGTGCTGCTGCTTAGAGCCCAGCTGAAAGAGGGAATTTGTCTTTGCACCTCACGCACCTCCAAACATGACCAATGCAATGTGAGCTCCTGAAAACACTTTGCTTTTTCCAGCATGGTCTCATTAGCCCAGTGCAAGCAGCAGTGCCGACTGCGTGATCAACAACACCAAGGCCCTCCAAATTATTTCAACCATCACCTTCTTGCTCCTCTTGAGCACTGAAGAACAAATTAAGCCTCTGCATACCGAAACAACAATTTGCTATGTGATACAGCATCACAATGTTTACACTGTAAGAGTCCAATGCTGTCCTCGCTGTCACTACAGCCTCGGCTGCTTGGGATATCTGTCATGCAACAACACAAAACGGCAGAGAAGCTGCTCAGCTCCTCCACCCTGTGCAGCTCAACTCCACCAGGACCTTCAGCCTTGATTGCTTCTGCAGTCATGGCGATGGTGTGCACAGGTCAGGTAACTGGCCACCAAAAAAACTGATGTGAAATTGTTTCAACAAAGATTTGCAATTCCCTGTTTGCCTCTCCTGCAGCAATCACCAGGGAGCTCAGCTCTGGGGCCAGCACTCGGTTACCTCGGGTTTGGATGAGGTTGCCCAAAGGGATGTGCCAGCAAAATATAAGCTTGTAATTAACCACCTAAAAGCCCCACAAGAAGGCTGCACAGATGGACAGACTTTTTGTGGGAGTTTTTCCTCGAATGTTTTATTCCAAAGTAATTCTGCTCTGCACAGTTGGGTTCAGCCTCATTGTTAGACTTCTTGCTGTCTTTTGGAGACAAGAAGCTCACTAACAACCTCAGTTGGATGAAAATTCCCCAAAGAAAACTGAGACGCTGGGCTTATGAAACCTATTTGTGATACATCCATGAGCAGGGATGGAAACTAAAAACAAAACTAATACTGTTTTTCAGCTCTCTAAACAAAGCTCGTTCATTAGAGTCATCATGCTATACTTCATCATTTCACTGGCACAAAGCTCAGAGCCAAAGCAACTTGCTCCAGAAAGTTTCCAGCATACCAGTCCAATTAGGTTACAGGCCAGTCATAACTGTTTCAACCAGATATCCTGTAGTTAAACTGAGCAAGACGCTAAAATCCAAGGCTTTACTGTGTAAATGTTGACCTACAAGTGTGAGAAATGAAAATCATGAGAAGATTTGCACTGATTTTCAGGAACCAACCTACCTACAGACCTCCAAATTACACTTCTGAGACAAAAACAAGCTTAGGAGTTGGGGTTTTGCAGTACTTTTCTATTTTGGAAGCTCTCACCTGCCAGCCAACCACCCTGCAAAGAGATTTTTTTCCTTTTTGGGGCCATCCAGGCAGTTGCCCAGCAATGAGGGCAGCCCATGGACTGGAACACACCAGGTGTGAACGTGGATCGTTTGCAGGCTCCAAACAGCAGCTCTCCAACCAGGAGCAGCAAAGCTTAAAGCAGAAACTGAAGAGGGGTCACAACGAACCTTTTGGCAACTGCTGGCCTAACCTTTCCTAAGTTTGGAACTCAACTCTGTGTTCTCAAGTGTCAGAATGCCCCTGATCAGCAACCTGCTGCGGGTCCTACCAAAGATGATGCCCCAGAGCCTCCTTTTCCTGCTTCACTCTGAGCCCACGTCTCAATCCTGCAATACAGGGAAGCAGCAGCATTTATTGAGCAGTTCCCTTCAAACCCCTGAGCCCTACACGGTCTGTCTATTGAACTGGAAAGGTTAGAATACACCAGGAATGAATGCAGCTGAACAGGCTGCCTTAATTCTGCTGGATCGTTTGGATCGAGGCAATGCTTTACCAGCACCAGTAGGAACTTCTTAGGTGTAAACAACAGTTTTAGTCAAAGTAAATTAACTTCAGCTGGTCTGGCAGTTGAGCATTTTCTAAATAGAATTAGCACGAACAACCTGTGCTGGGAAGGAAAGACCTATCATTCTCACACTTTTATGTAATCAGACTATTTCCTGTTTAATAAAAAGGAAATCCCATCCAGAGAGCGCAGGAAGCGTGCCCTCCAAGGTCGCTCTTTTTGAGCAGCTTTCAACAGGATATTGCTACCAATGAGCTCTCCCCACACAAAGGGCCCAGGTTCACAAGGAGGGTGAGACCTCGTCCTGTTCTAAACCTCACCCATCTGAAAGCTGCACCTCGAGGCACACAGTGCATTCTGAGGCACCCGGTGGAAAGGTCCCTCCAACCCCAACCCCCCATTTGCACAAGGGGCCACGGTCCATCTATCTCACCAACTGCCCCCAAGTCAATAAAAACGCCATCTGCCCAACACAGCAGCAAGTGTTCAGGAGGAGCAGCCTGAATGCTGGCTCCAAGATAACAACCGCATTCCTCAGCAAAAACCTTGCCCCTACAGCTGGCTGGGGGAGCAGCATACCTGGAGATGGGGAGATAGCAGCTGAGCAGGGCTGAGCTCCCTCAACACAGAGATGGAACGGTATTTCTGCCACAACAAGGTCACAATCAATTTCCAACTCGCACTGAAAAGCTACGGACACAGAACGGGAACGACACCTTTATTTTACAACAGAAATGTTACACAACTGCTCATTTAGACTGAGCCTACTGCAGTACAATTCCACAGAAATATGGTGTGTGCTGTTCTTTGAGGTCTACCTGGTGGCTGCGCCCCTAACAGCTACGTTACTGCTTGTGGATCTGTTGCATAAAGTCATCTGTGTATTTCTGTACCACTAAGAGACCTTAATGAAAACATTCATAAGCAGAAAATGCTTATTTCTGAAATCTGCTTAAAAACAGAGAGGAAAGCACCAGATCTCTAGAGCAAAGGCAGCACAAATGGAAGAATGATGTGCTGCTCAGTCACTCGTGCCCCTCGCCCAGCACAAGATATCCTGGATCCACTGTTAATGAAAGACTTTGATAATTACCATAGGCACCTCTGTTAGGATACAACCTAGACTTTTAGGTTTTGTCATTTGCTTTTGTCTGTTTGGTTTTGATTTCATTCAGGCCAAAACACAAAGGCAGGTTTACAGTTCCGTTTCATTCCTGCTGTGTAATTGTTTTAAGAGGGCCCCTGAGGCTCACATCCCACCAGGGACCTCAGGGCAGCCTTTGGAGCCATGCCTCACAGCCTTTTGGGAAAAGCATTTTCAGGTATCGTGTCGCATCACCAAGTTCTGTTTTCCAGGATTTGGATGACAATTATGTCATTTCAAAGCAGGGAAGTGAGCAACACAAGCCGCTCTGGCAGTGCACAAGGCAGCTCAGAAGCAGCTCTCATCCACAATCAACGAAATAAGAGAAAGGTTGGAAAAATAAGCAAAAGTTTAAAGTCTACAGCAGGGGCTCCCACACAGCACGGCACTGATGGTAAGCAAGCTTCAAAGCAGCATGCAGACAAACAAACAGAAAGCTCAGCAGCAGCGGGGCAGCAGGAAGGGCACTGAGATCCAAGGCTGCCCAGCACAGGGCTGGGAGCTGCATGGGAAAAGGGGAAGGAGGCTGCCACCAGGATAAGCCTGGGGGCCCCACACTCACTGCTGACCTTACAGTGGCTTCATTACACACAGATCACATCGCTTCCCCCCCAAAATAACGGCGCTCCGCAAGGCAAAAGCTGCAGGCACACACAGCCGAGCTGCACCTGAGTTAACGGAGCAGATTGAGGCTCAGGTTCTCTCTTGCAATGTTCGATTTAAACAGCAGCCACCCATAAATAAAACAACAGTAGCTGCATTGTAACCACCGTGATTCCTAGAAAGAGGCTCCATGGAAGCATCACAGCAAAGACCAAAAGGGCTGCAGCACGATTAGAAGCTAACCTGCGATGTTATCAGAGCTGCCTACCTGCCAGCCTTCCAGGAAAAGCCTCCCAGCACACATACAGGCAACCAGGCAGGAAAGAGGCAGCAAAGATGGCAAACAGGTGTTCCCAATCCCAACCCCATCCTGCTGCCAGAAACCAGCTTATGGCCGCTGAGACAGCCTTCGTATTTATTTCATGTTTTCTACCAATATAAAGTCACAAAACCAAGAGTTTGCAGAGTGTCTGAAGTGAAAACCTGCCCTCCCCCCAATATTTAAAACTTGTTTCACACTTCAGCATCATTTACTAGAACACAGACTGCAAGGAACCAGCACGTCTCACAGCACTTTCAGGGAGATGGGTGGAGAAGAGGGCCGGCTTCAGTGTCTTCCTCCTGTACAATCTGCCTTTGTTTGAAAGTTTTAATTTAATGGGAGTGTCTGTATTCAGGATTTGGAGGCTCTGGGTTGCCTTATCACCAGCCAGGACACCGTAGGATTATAAAGACCTTTTATGCTTTACCCAAAGTTAACAAATGCTCTCACAACCCCAATATATTTTTACTCAGTGCTTTTATAACAGATAAAACGGGGATCCATCCCACTGCATCAAAGCACCTTGAAGCACTATGGACACAGGGGGTGACAAACTGCTCCTGAGGAGCCATGAGGCACCGCTCCCCACAGCAAAGCCTTGCAGAAACTCTTCCATTCAACACAGCCTCCATTACACCACACCACAAACCACACGCTGTGCCAAATTGCCAACGCTGAACAGCCCAAAGAAGCATGCCAAGGAGCACGGGGCTCGCAGCACAGCTCCTTGTGACCTCTTGCTATTCAGGGCACGTTACAGAGCTAACACAACACATGGCAGCAAGAGCACAGCCTGTGGTGAGCAGGTCACAGCCAGCCCTGCACACTGCAATGCACAACCTCAACAGCAAGCCACCAAACAGCCTGCTCCTGACCATCACAGGAGTTCTGCTTTTCCTCAACAGCATACAGTTTTCTCAGTTGAGCAATGGTTCGGGGCTCAAACACCCACATTCTGCTCTGTGGCATACTTTGATTTAACTTACGATGCCAGGCCTGGAAAACAGAGACAGCAAATGGATGGTGGGAAGCTGGAATCCAGGCTGGATGTGGCTCCGGGCAGCCTGGGCTGC